TGTTATAAATTGATTTGCATTTTAAATGAGGGAAATAAGTATTTGACCCCTCTGCAAAACATGACTTAGTACTATTTCGAGGACTTGCAGATGAACATTGTAGACAACAAAGAACTACAGTATGAGGCTTGTTCAAACTACTTTGACGCAGTTGACGACTTGCCCTTTGCTGTGAAAACAAAAATCTTGAGCACTGTTGAAGAGGCATACAGCAATGCAGAGGAAAAACTTACAAAGTACATGTCAGATGGACAGCCTGCCATGGAGTTCCTCCAAGACGTTAGGTCAGATGGACAGCCTGCCATGGAGTTCCTCCAAGACGTTAGGTCAGATGGACAGCCTGCCATGGAGTTCCTCCAAGAAGTTAGGGTGTTTGATCCACGTCACATTGCGTTTATGGATGACAGTGTCCAGCTACAAGGCTATTCCAGACTTCAGTAAGGTACAGAGAGATGAACTGGATGCCTACTTGACCAATGTAGGACCACCAGCACTGAGAGCCACAGTGAGTGGGGTGGTGGATTTGGATATCTTCTGGGATGGACTTCAAGAGAGAATTCCTGTGCTGTGCACCCTGGCCAAACGCTACAAAGATGCAGTCTCAAACTCAGTTGATGCTGAGCGAAGCAATAGTATCTACAAGCTTGTGTTGTTCCCGTAGGCGAGCAACCTCTATAACCACCTACGAGCCTTGGTCTTCATGTACCACAACCAACGACTCCGCAGTGGAGCAATTGATATGGAGGATGAAATGGATGATTACATTGAGATATAGGCCTAGATGAACTAGGCCCTTGGTCACACCCCCCACCTCTCGTTATGTTCAGATAAAGAGCTGTGTTTGTTCAACAAAAAAAGAAACAGCCCAAAAAAGAGCACTTTGTCTCTGTAAGATGAATTTGAGATATAATATGTCTTAATTGCAGATTGGACCCCAGGTGTTTCTTTTGTCCTAGTTTAATATTTTTGAGTACCTACAGATTATGGGGGCATGCATATTTTTTATTTTGGAACTCTGAGCTAGCTTCCACCCCTTTTTTTGTTCAGAAAAAGAGCTGTTTGTTCAGGAAAATAAACGAAATTGAGCACTTTAAATGTTTTTGTTTGATGTATTCTGCTTAAAATCATCCTGAAACTGAGCACATTACCTTTTATTGCGTTATATGAAATTAACGTGAAAAAAATCAAGCATTTTTGGCCGCAGAAATCACGCAAAAAAATGCGCAATCCTGGAGGGATTGTATTGAGATCAAAATGGTGAATATCGCCAAAAAGTGCAGAATTTGCATCCCTGATGTCTGATGGAATTTCCCAAGTGTTTGAAAATCGCAATTCATAATCGCAATATCTGCCCCCGCAAAAAAACAGAATTACATATTTTGTCCAAATCGTGCAGCACCTTTCGTAATATTGAGGAAACTAGATTTGATACCGTCAGTAAAGCAGCACAATGATTTTTATAGTCTAAACAATATAGCACACATCATGTAGTCCTATGTAGCTCAGTTGGTAGACAATTGGCGCTCGCAACGCCAGGGTTGTGGGTTCGATTCCCACGGGGGACAATATGAAAAAAAAAAAAGTGAAAATGTAGGCACTCACTACTGTAAGTCGCTCTGGATAAGAGTGTCTGCTAAATGACAAAAATGTAAATCTAAGACAAGTGTAGCCGCAGCAATGGTGTTATGTCCAGGTCTAAAACCAGAATAGAATAAGTAAAAATAAATTCTAAGCTGAGAGTTGGCCAGGAACTCTAAAACTTTGGCAAGGCAATATAGCTTGGAAATTGGATGGTAGTTATCCAAGTCAGAAGGATCTCTGCCTTTATGTAGGGGGAGGACTTGTGCCGTTTTCCAGGTCTTAGGGATAACCCCAGAAACAATTGTCAAGTAAAAAATCTAGGTTAGTGATTGTGCAATAAGTGGGGCAGAAAGCTGCAGCAAGGGATCAAGTGAGTCAGCGCCAGTGGATTAATGTTTACATCGATCTCCACTTACATCATAAACATCAAATGGTTTAAATAAAAATAATGAACGTGTATCTGGGAATGTATCGTTCTCTGCAACCTGTCTCGAAGTGAGTAAAGAACTCCCTCTACTGGAATCAGAGTTTTCAGAAGCTATTCTATCAAATAGGTGGCCTGCTGAGGCAAAGTGGTTATTAAAAGCACCACAAATGTTAATCCTATATATCTGTTATGGGACCAGAGGCTGTCATAACCTGCTGGGGTAATGAGGGCGTGGAGTTTTGTTTCAGAGATTTGACTACCTTCCAGAAGTCAGCTGGATTCCCACCATTCTCAGATACACAGTTCAAGAAGTATGTCGATTTTACTTTTCTAACCAGGGATAGACATTTTTCTCAAGCGTCTGAAGGACTGCCAGTCAGACGTAGAATCAGTCAGCCTTAGTCGAAGCTAAATTTCTCTTGAAGTTTCTCTGATAGTTCATGCGTGAACCAAGGATTAGCTCTATCCTTTAACCTTAATTTCTTTAACGGTGGATGCTTATCTGCAATAGAGTTAAACAAAGAAGTAAAACAATTTAGGGCCTGATCCGAATCAGAGATAGCTGACAACCCCCCATTCACACAATCCCAGATCAGACAAGAATTGTTGCTAATTAAAATTCCAAAAATGTATCTTTAATCATGCAAGGGCGAGATTAAGGTAGCTTTGCATCTTTTATGGTCACTGAAATCATTAGCAAAAATTCAATTGACTGTATACTTTGAGGGGCGTTTGTCAAAATATTTAAAATAGTAGATCTTTCAGGGTGTTTAATGTTGGGGCGGGTTGGTTCAGTTATCAACTGAGTTAGATTTAGCTCAATGCAGATATATTTCAGCCTATCAGAAGCTGGCATCAACCGATCCAGATTAAGATCACCTAAAATTTATAATTCAGATTTAGCATAGTTAGATAAATCAGACAAGAGCACATGTTGAGGCAGAGCAATACATTCCCACTAGCATAAGTTGGGCAATATTACCAAGGCCCACATGTAGGACTAGACATTCAAATTGCTTAGGGACAGAGGTAGGCCACAGAAACGTTTAAGTTGTCCTTTGTAAATATGGCGACACCCCCACCTCTGCCAGATCTATAAACATTGTAACTAGTGAGAGGCACATCTGTTATTTAACCAAGTTTCAGATATTACCAGAACGTCCACATTGGTTTATGAGGCCAGAGATGTAATAAAGTACATTTTGGAGATCAAACTTCTGGCATTTACATGAATCCGTCCAAGGCAACCTCAAATCAGACAGTCTCCAACACAACCATTCTATAGTAGGCAACCCCACATTTGAAAAAACTATAGGGCTGGTCCGAATTGGTATAGATATAAGACTGCATAGAACTGCACCATTGGGCCGCCTCGAGCGAGGATGTGGAATAAAATCAATGAGTCAATGAGTTACCTTTCATGTGCTTGCTCCAGTAGACCTAACAGCGTCACATCACTGAAGGGCTCTTAGCACCGAGCCAATGTTGGTGAACAGCAGTCTGGATCCTTTTTCTTTAGTATGAATCCCATCATAACTGAAAAGCTCTGGCCTATTCCAAAAAGAGGTCAGTCATCCACAAATGGAATGTCAATAGATCTACAGACCACATCTTAATTTCTCACTGTTCTGATGCAAAGAGGGAATGGGACCGGAGATTATGGCTTGTTTCCCCAAATCCTGTACGGTCTCAATAATTTGCGCTTTCCTGATTTCACTAGCATGACATAATTTGATATGAATCACAACTTGTTTTGAGTCCGGGAGTTGCATTTTGATGGTTGGGAACAGTTATTGTAAATACATCGCACGCGCGCACAACATCGCAAACCATGGAGTTGGTTGAAACACCATTGTGTTACTGTAAGTTTGGTAAATCAACCTCAGTTTGTCCCGGTCTGTCTCAATGGCAGACATCGCAAACCACGCCTCAAGGGAGCGTATTTTCGTAGGCCACATCCATTCTGGAAGCCTCTCTGCGAAGATTCTGTCTACTTTTCAGTTGTGCCATCTCAGTTTGAAGTGCGATGATCCAATCCTTCAGCTCAACATTTTGATTGCACTTTAGACAGACATAGACTATCAACATTTCGCACAACTCACACTTCACGGCTTGGTTTTTGTTAAGACATTCCGACTGCGAAATGGAAGAGTTTTGCGACTCGATAGCCGTGTCACTTGAAGCGCATGAAAGTCAACGTGCAAGACAGCTGCCTACAGCAAATTCTATTAATATTGGTGATAGAATATACCTAGAAGTAAATCAAAAGGTATAAACATTTTATAAAATCCAAGGCTTTAAATCTGAAAATAATCTATCAGACGGGAGGTGACTTTCAGCAGCTCTGATACCGTGCTGGGAGGCTGCATATAAACTTTCTGTAACGTTGCACCCTTCTGAACAAGCCCCAGACCTTTGTTAATATTTACACTGCCCAACAAAGTCACGGCAAATCTATTTTCCGTGCAACTCCAGATGCTGCAATCGAAGTGAGTTGACTATTGTCAGTGATCTTCCTACTGTAGGCCTACTTGCCATCCGCTCTGACTTTGAAGTGTAAAGACATGTTATGCTTCTGCTTGAGTAGACTGTTCTCAATATCCACCCTACGCCTTGCCCAGTTCTATTATGGGAACTGAGTTCCCAAAGTGAAAGTAATTTCAACATGTAAAAATTTGTTTAGAGCTGAATTCCTGGCGATTCCCAGAGGGCTGCAGAGCAGATACAGTGGTGCTCTCTTGTGGATGCCTTATGTGCCTAAAGGCACAAAGAGGATTAAGTAAGTAGGTATGTAAGTTCCCAGAGAGATTTCCCTTTCCAATTCCACTCATGATTATAACAATGCAGGTAAGGTACAACTACTGAATATGGAAATGTCATTAATCAAACTTTTTCTGAATAGCCGCCACTCATTCAACAAATGCCGTGGTTGCCTCTACCAAACCATAATTGCATCGAGTCATACAATGAGATGCATTGATTAGCCATTTACCTCAAGGAAGCGGACTTCTGATGTTTTCCCGTGGGCAATAGGGAAAGGCTTGCGGCCATCTTGAGAGAAAACACAAGATGAGAAACAAATGCTATAGATAGTGCTCCAGCAGCACATGATCAATATCACACTGCAGTGACTGAGCAAGTCTGATAGAACAATCCCATTGTAATGTGGATTATTTGCATAGAAAACTCATGGTAACACTTCCTAAGAATACCCTCTTAATAATGCATTATAAGCACATTTTTAATGAACATGTCACGGACGGGATCTGAAGGAAATTCCCCCTTGGGCTGAGGGTGACTGATTTTGAAGACACAGGCTGGGCTACCTCATCACGAGACCATGAGCCTCCCCACGAGACACCACCCCACGTTGGGCGCCATTGTCACATGCGGGATCTGAACCTTGGTCTCCCACGGGAGAAACCAATGTCTTCACCATTAGACCAAAAGGAAATTACCCCTCATGTCGGCTACAAACGCATTATAAATGTGCTTACAAGACATTTTGAAGAGGTTATTCATAAGAAGTGTTACCAAACCCATTTCTGTGTATCTTATTCCTGCTAGTGAGATGTTCACTACAAAGCATTTCAAGTGGAAAGGGGTGTTTCACTTACCCAGTTCATATAAATGTCCCCCAACATTCACAAAAGCAATGAAATGCAAGTCCACTTTTTCATCTAAGCTTGGTGCCTATAAAACAAAAAATAAAGGTTATGCCCGTCGACAAAATGAATGTAATTCAAACGCACAACTGGGTCATGTTCAGTATGGGCAAATAGAAAATGAAAAGAAGAGTTTGCAAAGGACAAGTTTAGGTAGTACCTCCCCATTTCACGCTCTTTCAAAAAGTTCTCCCTGGAGTTACTTATTGACTGCCGTTGACCATGTTCAAAATCAACTCAAATTAAGTTGTTTTAGAAAAGAAAACCCTTAAAATTAATACTCACCTCAGTCTGTCCTTCCTGTGCACTGGATTCATGTGTAACACGGATGCTCTGTAAAGGAAGAAAACATAATTCAATTTAATTTCAATCACATAATTTCCCCATGGCTAGAATGACACCATCCACTCAGTGCATTGTCAGCGTGGTCACCACTTATTATAGGCACACCCTGGTGTAACTACCAAGCTAAGCACTAGTGCTAATCTGATAAATTATCATCTTTGTATGATGAAGATTATGATGGAAATACCTCATCTTTCTCCAGGAAGGTGGCCTTGTTCTCTGGGCTCAGTTTAGTGGACTGTACCAGGAACATCTTCAGTGGAGAGTCAGCCTCTGGGAGGACGAGTAGAGATAAGCATGAAACATACAGAAAGTTATACCACTGAGCAGTGTTATTTCATCAACAGAAATAGTGACTAACATTTTTGTCAAACACCTACTTTTCAGTGGCAATTGACGAGACTAATAACTGACTAAATAGACCCAGAAAAAACTATAACCAAATGAAAATTAATTTTCATTTCAGTTGACTAAAACGAGAAGAGATGAAATTATCTCTGTGACTAAAATCTGACTACTAAGTGGACTGGACAAGAGTTTTGGGAGAGATTGAGAGCTTTTCATTGATAAGCACAATTAATATTGGCAGCACAGATGCGCAGTTGTGTTCAGCAGTGGGAAGGAAGCGCCACACACAGACTACATCAGCTGGTGAGCTGCGGGGGAGCAAGCGATGGATGTGGGCAGACAGGCTCCACTCCGGCTCAGATTATTATAGGCACACCCTGGCACAGGTGACACTCTTGCTTCCCGGTAGCTAACCAGTCACCCCCAGCCTTCTAGTTAGCTACCCTTTGCCTGGTTAAGAAACAAGCTGCTTTACGAAATTAAAAACAATAGTAGCATTGAGTTTAATCGTAAAAACAACAGTCTAGCTATGTTTTTCTCTCCCTTGAGTTAGAAAAGTAGGCCGTCTTTGAACTTGTAGTCTCGCTTAACATTCCCCACTGCATTTCATAGCCAGGTTCTGTAACCAACGTAGCCAAGTCTCCCTCTTTTCCTCAGAGAACATGGCTTGATTCTAGCCCTTACCGTTCAAAATATATGATCCATAATACCGGAACTATGTTTTCTTTCCTTCTATCGCGCATTGTCGGGCCGCATTTTACATTCATAAAGTGGATCGGACCGTTAACCATTTGTTTAGGCTACACCTTGTTCAGTCATGTTACTTCATTAGCTAGCTATAGATAACAACCTGGGGCGCGTTCAGCAGGACGTGTTGAATAAGGAATAACGCAATGTTCGAGAATGTTTTGCAACTGAACGTGGCCCTGGTAACATTACCAGTAGGCTATATGCAAACATTTGGTGGCAAAGAAAGGAAAAGGGATAGCAAATAATTGATTGACTAAATTAATCTTGCCACTACAGGAAAATCCTTTGCACGATTAAATTAGTGAAATAATTTTACGGAACGACAACGCAATGACATTTTTCATATCCTCATTTTTTCAATAATTTATCAAAGCCATCCTCGACTAGTCATTTGACATTGCCAAACTGTGAGCATGCCATTTTGACCCTCGCCATCTCAATAAGGACAGTCATCCGCCCTGTGACAGGTGATGTAGGGTTTTTCATTTCCCCCACAGGGATTGGGGGGAGGGAAGCTGATCCTAGATCTGTACCTAGGGGAAACGTCACCCAGGGTGTGACAGCCACGTACCAAATTCCAGATGCTCCTGGTTGTTGGCCACAGCGTGAATTAAGCCTATTGTTCCGCAGGCGTTGCCGATTGTCTGCTTCATGAAGTAGACATCTGGGGAGACCTCCTGGCCCTGGGCCTTGATCTTGGCCTCCTCCTCCAGCCTGAAAGACTCGTACTGAAAAATGGCAGAGGAGAGGGAAAGTGTGTCATGTTGTTTTCCTAACTTGTGTGTTCTTCTTTTGATTATATTCTACTGTAGTTACTTTTTTTGGGGAATTCTGGAATTTTAACAATTCCAGAATGTTAATAAATAAATGTATAAAATACAAAATTATTGCAGAATGCACGTGTGGTGAATGCCGGCAAACACCACAACTCTACATGCGTGTACCAGTATATTTGACTGTCAAATCATTTTCAAGTGTAAAATACCATTTCACACTTGCTGAAAACACAGGTTGATCAATCAGGACAACAGAGTATATTTTTTTAGCATAGTGTAGAAGACAGGTTACCAACCTTTACACTTACCAGCTGTGACTGATTTCTACTAAATAGCCTAAGTCAAACAAACACACTAGATTGGAGATGCTGGAGCAGACCTACCTTCTCTGTGACAGGGAAGAGCAGCAGGACAGCACACACAGGCCTGGGCACCATGCTCAGAAGCTCGGGGTCCATTCCATACACATCGCCAAACTGCCAGGTCGGCAGCAAACCCAACTGTCGCAGAAACTTGGGGTAGAATATTGGAGTTAAATCATCATGCATGAAAATAGGAAAGCAAGAGACAGGGCAAAGCTCAGGGGTGCTTTAAAATATAAATTAGGATATGAACATGTATAAATCAGCAGGTGATCATTATTGTAGCTGCCACACTATCCTTTTAACAAACCACACCAAATACCAGAAGCCTAAGCATTGGTAATTTAATCAGATCAAAGAATCACATTTGATTCGACCAACTTTGGTTTCAGATTGACTTCTGTTCTCTATTTCTATTTGGAGCTCGTCGGCATCATGTGCACATTTACTGCAGTAATTATTGGCTCACAGAACTTGCTAGCTAGCTAGTTACATAATCACCATCAAAATCCTGCCTCAGCTCTCTAAAACAAAGAGCAACTGTCTCTGATATGAATGGCAATGCTGTCTAGTTAGCTACTTAGTTGCTATTATTAGGGGTTAAATATCAGCTGATACAAGCATAACGTTAGCTGTTGGATATGCTATTTTTAGAGGGTAGGTAGTTAAGATGAACAGCACCTCCGCTTTTGATAGCTAGCCACCCTTAGCTAGCTAGATATTAAATATTATAGCTAGCTATCCTCCTAGCTGGATCCTGTGTTGTTAGCTAGCTAGCTTACTAGCTCGCTAAGATTTAGCATGGAATCTGCGAGTGAGATTCCGATCTCCTTGAACAGCAACACTTGAAACCTCCATGATGGGTTTAGCAAGATGATAAGACTGACTCACTTGGTTCATCACCTAAAAGAAAGAACAAAAAGTAAGCCGTTAGCTTTTGTTCTTTGACAAACCAGCCAACAATAATAGCTAGCTAGAAGAATCACGCTAACTAGCCACAGAAAGCCCACTCATGTGAGATTGAACGAATGAGGCAGCTAGTTGTGATTACATGTTTTGCAAAATTGGATAAATACAAAGTATGTATACTAACATCTGGGTTAGCTTCCAGTGGTAACCAGCGCTGGCCGTTCATTTCTAATGATATTATAGCTAGCAAAAATCTTCACTAAAGTGAAACTGCTCCAACTTATTTTTCGGCTAAACAGAAGAAGCGCGTTTCTTCTTCTGCTTCTGCTTCTTCTTTTAGGGTATTATGGCGGTCCGCAAACAATCGTTAGAGGTGCATGCCGCCACCTACTGTACGGCTGGTAAACTATTTAAGAAAAATAGTATTTTTATTAAATAAAATATAACAGACATCACTTAAGTTCAAGAATTGACAAGAACATAAAAGACGAACAAAACAAAAACAGAAAAAGTACTTATGACAGCAATGTGACAATGACACTTATTCAAAAAAGAATTTGTTATAATATTGGATTTTAGATAAGCTTTTCATATTATTTAGTAATTTCAGAGACTCAATTAAAAACAAAGTCTATCAAAAACACTTTAAAGGAGGGGGTTGATTTAAAAACGGTTTTGTGGATATAACATTTACTAACCAAAATCATGACATTAGTTAAACATTTTAAAGACTTCAGAGTACTGTCAAAAAAGTTTATACCATTGCATTTAATATCATTAGAGTGACCAGTTTTACTCATTATATACTCCTCCATATCGCTCCAAATGTAATAGTGTACAAACAATCAACAACAAAAAAACGTGTCAGCATTTCAAGTCCATCACTGCAGAAGGTATACTTGTCATCAATGTCTGTAAACCTTGACACCATTGTGTTGGAGGGGTACATATTGTGCACAATCTTTTGGTGCACCTCTCTTATCTTATTAGAAATACAACATTTGAAGGGACAAAGCCAGGCCATTTGCCATTGAATGTCTGATAGTTGGTGTGATCTTTCTTTTGCTATAAAATATTATCTTATGTGTTTATTTGTACACTTGGGACTTTTGATATCAGTACCATTAATAAATAGACTAGGTTCTAAATGTCTATCTTGAAAACATAGCACTAGCTGGGAAATACCTGAGGGAATAGCATTAACCACAGAGGGATATCCTTTGTATGCAACAGGAAAGGCTTTGACTCTTGAAAATACCTCATAACTTAAGATTTGGCCACCACTATCAAACATGTCACCTACAAAGATGATATTTTTCTCTATCCAATGTTGCATAAAAATACTTTTGTTTTTAACAGTGATATTACCATTATTCCACAGAATAGCTTTATGAGGCGAAAAGTCATGCACAAAACATAATTTCCGTGCCACAAGGGCTTGCTGATAACATTTATAAAATTGAAGTGACCGTTTGGTTATGTTGTAATTACAAGACACCAAAAACTGTAAACCCCCAATTTCTTAAAAATATTACAAATAAAGAACCATAAAGATTATGGAGATTCTCTGCATTTTTTCCAACCACTTAATCTTAAAGGTATTATTTATATCCACAAAATCCAATAACTCAAAACCTCATCTGCCCTAGTTGCAGCGAGAACTTCCTTTTAAAATTTAAAATGTTTACATTTTAGTCATTTAGCAGACGCTCTTACAGTGGGGAAAAAAATTATTTAGTCAAATCAAATCAAATCTAATTTTATTGGTCACATGCGTTGAATACAACAGGTGCAGACATTACAGTGAAATGCTTACTTACAGCCCTTAACCAACAGTGCATTTATTTTTAACAAAAAAAGTAAAAATAAAACAACAACAAAAAAAGTGTTGAGAAAAAAAAGAGCAGAAGTAAAATAAAGTAACAGTAGGGAGGCTATATATACAGGGGGGTACCGTTGCAGAGTCAATGTGCGGGGGCACCGGCTAGTTGAGGTAGTTGAGGTAATATGTACATGTGGGTAGAGTTAAAGTGACTATGCATAAATAATTAACAGAGTAGCAGCAGCGTAAAAAGGATGGGGTGGGGGGGCAGTGCAAATAGTCCGGGTAGCCATGATTAGCTGTTCAGGAGTCTTATGGCTTGGGGGTAGAAGCTGTTGAGAAGTCTTTTGGACCTAGACTTGGCACTCCGGTACCGCTTGCCGTGCGGTAGCAGAGAGAACAGTCTATGACTAGGGTGGCTGGAGTCTTTGACAATTTTGAGGGCCTTCCTCTGACACCGCCTGGTATAGAGGTCCTGGGTGGCAGGAAGCTTGGCCCCAGTGATGTACTGGGCCGTACGCACTACCCTCTGTAGTGCCTTGCGGTCGGAGGCCAAGCAGTTGCCATACCAGGCGGTGATGCAACCAGTCAGGATGCTCTCGATGGTGCAGCTGTAGAATTTTTTGAGGATCTGAGGACCCATGCCAAATCTTTTCAGTCTCCTGAGGGGGAATAGGCTTTGTCGTGCCCTCTTCACGACTGTCTTGGTGTGTTTGGACCATGATAGTTCGTTGGTGATGTGGACACCAAGGAACTTGAAGCTCTCAACCTGTTCCACTACAGCCCCGTCGATGAGAATGGGGGCGTGCTCAGTCCTCTTTTTTTTCCTATAGTCCACAATCATCTCCTTTGTCTTGGTCACGTTGAGGGAGAGGTTGTTGTCAGCCACCAATTGTGCAAGTTCTCCCACTTAAAAATATGAGAGAGGCCTGTAATTTTCATCATAGGTACACGTCAACTATGACAGACAAATTGAGAAAATAAATCCAGTAAATCACATTGTAGGATTTTTTATGAATTTATTTGCAAATTATGGTGGAAAATAAGTATTTGGTCACCTACAAACAAGCAAGATTTCTGGCTCTCACAGACCTGTAACTTCTTCTTTAAGAGGCTCCTCTGTCCTCCACTCGTTACCTGTATAAATGGCACCTGTTTGAACTTGTTATCAGTATAAAAGACACCTGTCCACAACCTCAAACAGTCACACTCCAAACTCCACTATGGCCAAGACCAAAGAGCTGTCAAAGGACACCAGAAACAAAATTGTAGACCTGGACCAGGCTGGGAAGACTGAATCTGCAATAGGTAAGCAGCTTGGTTTGAAGAAATCAACTGTGGGAGCAATTATTAGGAAATGGAAGACATACAAGACCACTGATCATCTCCCTCGATCTGGGGCTCCACGCAAGATCTCACCCCGTGGGGTCAAAATGATCACAAGAACGGTGAGCAAAAATCCCAGAACCACACGGGGGGACCTAGTGAATGACCTGCAGAGAGCTGGGACCAAAGTAACAAAGCCTACCATCAGTAACACACTACGCCGCCAGGGACTCAAATCCTGCAGTGCAAGACGTGTCCCCCTGCTTAAGCCAGTACATGTCCAGGCCCGTCTGAAGTTTGCTAGAGTGCATTTGGATGATCCAGAAGAGGATTGGGAGAATGTCATATGGTCAGATGAAACCAAAATATAACTTTTTGGTAAAAACTCAACTCGTCGTGTTTGGAGGACAAAGAATGCTGAGTTGCATCCAAAGAACACCATACCTACTGTGAAGCATGGGGGTGGAAACATCATGCTTTGGGGCTGTTTTTCTGCAAAGGGACCAGGACGACTGATCCGTGTAAAGGAAATAATGAATGGGGCCATGTATCGTGAGATTTTGAGTGAAAACCTCCTTCCATCAGCAAGGGCATTGAAGATGAAACGTGGCTGGGTCTTTCAGCATGACAATGATCCCAAACACACCGCCCGGGCAACGAAGGAGTGGCTTCGTAAGAAGTATTTCAAGGTCCTGGAGTGGCCTAGCCAGTCTCCAGATCTCAACCCCATAGAAAATCTTTGGAGGGAGTTGAAAGTCTGTGTTGCCCAGCAACAGCCCCAAAACATTACTGCTCTAGAGGAGATCTGCATGGAGGAATGGGCCAAAATACCAGCAACAGTGTGTGAAAACCTTGTGAAGACTTACAGAAAACGTTTGACCTGTGTCATTGCCAACAAAGGGTATATAACAAAGTATTGAGAAACTTTTGTTATTGACCAAATACTTAATTTGCAAATACATTCATTAAAAATCCTACAATGTGATTTTCTGGGAAAAAAAATCTCATTTTGTCTGTCATAGTTGACGTGTACCTATGATGAAAATTACAGGCCTCTCTCATCTTTTTATGTGGGAGAACTTGCACAATTGGTGGCTGACTAAATACTTTTTTTCCCCACTGTATCCAGAGCGACTTACAGTTAGTGAGTGCATCATTTATTTATTTTCGTACTTTTCAAGGTGGTGATGTTTGTTTTTCCACACAAAATTGGTAAATTGATTGTTAATCTCCTTACATGTGGATTCATGTACAAAAAGAGATAGAGCTGGATAAACAAACCTAGATACACCCTCAGCCTTCGTTAATAGAACCCTTCCTAAAATATAAATATCTCTTTGAAGCCACATATTCAATGACACTCCCTGTGTCATTGTGTTTTTCCAGTCAGAGTTAGTATTTCGTATTGTTTGCCTATATTTTGGAGACCTATGTGCTCCTCATTTGCTTCCGTGTATAGTCTGTTGTTTTATATCCTGGCTTTTGAACCACCAGTGAAGATCCTTGTTTCACATCCGCTACGTCTGGTCACACCACCTACAGCTCAGATTCAATTGCGATATTAAAGTCCAAAATCACCTGAT